ACGCCAGAGCTCTAAACACTAGATGTCTTGCATGCACTTGAAAGGCTAAACAAACTGCAGCAGATTTTTTTTAGTGCAAAGGACAGAGTTGTCTGAAGATGACTCACACAGGCTTCTGGTTTACAGTTTTCATAGCCTTCTCAGAAAAGATGTTGCAAGCTCCAAAATCTCTCCGAGTCATCTGATTCTTAGGCCATAGAAAGGGGAAGTCCCCGCATTCCTATAAGGGTGGTTTGTCGAGCCCGAAGTCCAAGTTACATATCTTTGCCCAAAAGGAAGCAAATGTTGTGGACTTAACAAAGTCTCATTTACAACCTTCTGTTCTACATTAGGCTTCAAGGAGTCAAGAATATATAATAACTTTAGATCCTCATTCAGTTCCAGGTGTATTTTCTTATTTCTCTGCTCAAGATTCTGATGAAGGAAACAGCCTATCTATCCCAAAGAACTAGACTCAGCTAGGCTTAGAGGGGGAGCTGTTCATGTAACCCTTTGTAGATGTCTTGAGCTTTAATTTGCAATTCCCACCTTAAGATAACGTTCATTGCATGTGTCTCCCGATTACTGCTGTGCTCTTGGTCAGAAGGGGCGCTGGGACTCAACCCGATGAATGAGAAAGCTATGGCTTCCTAGTTCTCCTACACCCACTTGTTCTCCCTTATAAAAAAATCTTTTACCTTCCTAGAGCTGTAAAACAGACCCAATAGCTTAATGTAATCAAGATTTTTTTTTAAATCTATGCCTTAGAGGAAATGATTAGGGCACCTTTTGACCCTAAGATCCCTTTTCCAGCCTAAATCCTTTTCAAAAATCAACTTATTATAAAACCTGCTAAAGGTTTTATGAAGCAATTGACAATTCTGTAACACTGTGGGAAGAATTACATATTTGAATTTTAGATGTTGGACTTAAGTTGATTATTCTCAACAGAGGGACTTAATTCTGGAAATAAGACTCCTGTGACCACATGCCAAATGGTAACTTGGGAGTTTGGGAAGTCTGTCATGGGGGATTTGCTCTTGGAACTTTGGGAAATGACTGAATATACACTTTTGCTAAAATCTTTCAAGAAATCTTGACTATTTCTTTAGAAAGGAGTTATCTTTGAGTCCTAGGGCCTCTCAGCAAAGTCTACTTTCCAGTCACTTCATGGACTATAGATACGTTCTAAATTGTGTGGCCCACCATGGAGACTCACCCTTGGTTACTGCAATGCAACATGCCCTCCAACATACACACGCCTTTGCTTCAGGGAATCTATATTTTTAAAAAACACAACCCTTTCCCCTGGTTTTTCCTGTCTTGCCCCTTATAACAACGCATTCCCAGACACTGAAAGGATGTATGAAAAAATACCCAAACACCTTTAAGACAAGTCCAGTGTCATGAAAAGTTGTAATGAGAAGAGAAACTTTCCTTAAAACCAAAGTACCGTGGTGCCGCTCACTTCGGAACCCTTCCATCCTGGCCCCATCTGACAGCATTAGGTTCAACACCTGGCCTCGAGTTGTGAGGTTGTTACGTCTTATATCACTTTTAGGGCTCAACCACACACCGCCATTCCCTCTACCAAGCCCCTCAAAGTGCTTTGTGGCACATCTCAAAGTCCTTTAACATATTCTCACTTTAGAACAAAATTTGCCAATGAAATGGGCTCAGTCGTTTCTTGTCAGAAACAATACACTGCAGGAAAGGACAATAGCAGGCTTCAAAGATGACCAACAAACTCTTATGGCCAGGTGACCTGATTTTTCAACTGGAACTGGAGCGGGGGAGGGGAAAGCTTTGGGGGAAGGTCTTATCTGTGGGCCGCAGGGACAATAAGGCAACTGGATGGGCAGGCTGTGAAGGGATAAGGGAGCTCAGAAAATGTGAAAAGTTAAGGGGTCCAAAACCAAAAAGTGTTCTGAGAGAAAAGAAGAACTAGGGGCTGTTCTGCAAGAATGAAAGGAAAGGGAATTGAAGATAAAGAGGGATAAAATATTTGAGTCTCACAAACAAGACAAAAAGTCTGCCATCTCTGTCCTAAATTCAAAGGGTGCCCCACCACAAGACTAAGCAGAAAAGCTTCCAAAATGATTCTAAGATTTAGAAGAACTTCATTATTTAAAAAGAAGTCCAGATCCTCCCAATTCAACAAGCACAAGACATGGACTAGGGCTTCGAGATTAGCATGGGAGCAAAAAGTAGGGGGGGAAGCTCACAAAACGGCGTAGGTGTCTGATGCATGCAGTTAGATACCCTCAAAAGGGTGAAAAGCAAAGTAATTGGATTGGTCAGGAGACCCATCAGCCGTCGAAGTTGACCTTCTGAGACTAGAATTGAGATGAACATTCATTTGAGTGGAAAGGCACATGAAAAGGCATAGGGTAGGGGACCATCAATTTTAGATGTTTAATCATGAAGGGATCATAGATGATGATCAGAGGACTACAAGGTCACGGGGAGTGTTTTCCGTATTGGAAATGGCCCACGGGGGAGAAGGCAAGGGTGCAGGAGGAAGAATATCAATGTATAGCTCCCTAGGTCAGAGCTTTGTCTCACCCCCTGGTGTTGTTAATGTGGGAAGTATCCCTTGCATTGGAATAAATTCTCTGAACTTAAGAAAATGATTGTTGGCTTCCTGTGGCTTCCTGAAACTGGAAGAGTATGGATATGACTAGGGATTTATCATCTCACGAAGAAACAAGTTACGGGAGCCACAGAAACCAAGCAAGGCATACAAATACAGGTGCTGTATCGGTTTCCTAAGGCTGCCGTAACAAATGACCAAAACTTGGATGTTTTAAAATCACAGAAATTTATTGTTTCACAGTCTTGGAGACCAGAAACCCTATATCAGGAGGTCAGCAGGGTTTTTTGTTCGGGTGGCTCTGAGAAAGAAGCCATCATGTGCCTCCTTCCTTGTCTCCCAGTGGGCATTGGCACTCCTTGGCATTCCTGATTTTTAGGGGCATCAATCCAATCTCTATCTCTGTCTTCCTATCACCTTCTCCTCTAAGTGTCTCTATGTCTCAAATCCCCCTTTGCCTTTCTTTTAGAAGAACATCTGTTATAGGATTTAGGGTGTCTCCTAGATCCTGGATGATCCCAACTCAAGATCCTTAATTACAACTGCTGATACCTTTTGTACAATAGGGCCGCATGAAAAGGTTAGTGTGTTAGAACTGGACATATCTTCTGGGGGACACTACAGGTATGTGACAGAACATCTCTGGCACTAGTATGAGACTTCACAGATGTGGTTCATGAGTGTCACTCTAGAGGAACTCTGGCTTGGGGCCAGGCAGCCTGGACTAGACCAGGCCATACTGTTTGCATCTGTGTAGGTTAGAACCTCTGTGCCTCGGCTTTCTCTCAGGAAAAGAATAGTAACTCCATTATAATACTCAGGGTCACTCACTGTAAATGTCTCAGAGTTAATACAGGTAAAAAGCTAACCGTGCTTGGCCTCCAAAGAAGTCTTGGGTCAAGAGAGCTTGGAGTCCTCCACTATGTGAGACATCCACCTGCAAAGAGACTGCTCTCTGCTGCCTACGATTCATGTGTCTTGGAGCAAAATGAACTGCTGAGTCTCCAAATGAAACAATTCATATAACATGAAGCATACATAGATTTATGTATTTATCTACATATGTGCTTTTTAAGACTATTAAGACTACAAGGACTATTTAAAAACTCTTAGAGGGAGAGATTAAGTCCTGGCCTTCAGGAAAATACATTGATATTCATGAATAAAGTAAATGCAACTGAAGCTCATTGGTACATTTGGCCCTTGAATTAAAAAGGTCAAAAACATGGGTGCCATAGGCACAGAATTAAGAGGGCCTTTTTCGGGGGAGAGGAGCCTATGGGTGGTCTTACCAGGATTACAAAACTATGAGTAGCTTTTCTTTGCCTTTGGTCTTCGGTCCGTGTAGAAAGGTAACTTTTCTCTAGTTCTCTCAGGAGCTGTGTAGAGACGGACTTGTGGAGGTAAAAAAAACCTATGGAAACATTAGTTCACTCCCATGTGTTTACAATGACTCTGCCTTTTTCTGTTTCACTGACTGTGATACATGAGGAAGCTTTATGACAGCACACACCACAACTGGTTTGAGGATGGTAATGCTAAATAACAGCATAAAGGTATTCATACTCCATGAACTGGACAACAGACACCCCACAAATTCTTTTTCTCCCTGATACATGCAAGCGTTAAATGTAAAAAATGGATGTCTTCTAAAATATAGTATGTAGCCCTGGAGATCATATGCAGACTCATAATATTTTTTTAAAATTAATGTAAATAAGCCCTGACTGGTGTGGCTCAGTGGACTGAGCACCAGCCTGTGAACCAAAGGGTCACCGGTTCAATTCCCAGTCAGGGCACATGCCTGGGTTGCAGGCCAGGTTCCCTGGTGCAGGGTGCATGAGAGACAACAACACATTGATGTTTCTCTCCCTCTCTTTCTCTCTCCCTTCCTCTCTGTCTAAAAATAATAAATAAAATTAAAAAGTTAATATAAATAAGATACAATTTACAGCTCTATTCTTGACACAGCCTTTATAGTTCAAAGATTTTTTGAAGAACCTGGATTTACAATACCCAGTTTCTCATGCCAGTTGCCATTTTCTCAAGCTCAGCATTCAATGTATTTCTATTTTACTATGAAACCTTATTTTCCCATGTGTAACACACTTTGACTCCCGTCTTTCTCACTAGGCTTTTATGCCAAAGATCCAACACTAACAACTTAGCTAGATGATCATTAAATGTTAGCAGATACCAACTGATTAAAGAAAAATCTGGTAGACACCTTCTTTCTATTTTGGAAACTACAAAGGAAACACTCTTACCCCCTCCCCTGCTTTCAGCACCTAGTCTAATAGAGAAGAAAGAACAAAACGAGTTCTGAAGAACTGCACTGGCCAATCCCTAGTTGCAGGCCTCTTGTGGCCCAAAGTCTGGGTTTGCTGCTGCGTCATGATCTCATCACGCCCCTCAACTCTGCCTACAGGTGTCTGCAGTAGGTTATGCTCATTTGAGACTCCTCCGCCGGGGATCTGCGGGTGTCACTAAGTGTCTGCTGGTGCTGGAGTTTGCTGCCTGCCTTCTTGCCATGTCTAACGAAGTAGAAACGAGCACAACCAACGGCCAGCCTGACCAACAGGCCGCCCCAAAAGCGCTGTCGAAGAAGGAAAAAAGGAAAGGTACGAAGAAACAAATTCTCTTTAGGCCGGTGAGGGAGCTAGCGGTGGTTACCTGAGAACAAATGAGAAGTTCAGAGTAAAGTGAGAGCGGGCCCTGGCCTTGCTTTGACCTCAGTCTAGTCTCAAGGACCCCTGAACAGGAGAGCTGGAGTTTGGTTCACTCCACACATAAGACACCCCTCGGAATCCTGTGACTGCCCTAACTTGCAACTATGGATTATTATACAGTTATCTTTCAGTAACCTATTTATTACTTGGCAGTTTTTTAAAAATCAAAATCTTCATTTTGTTAGACTCTCTTTTTTGACCTGAAGTACCACTAAAACGTGCCAGAGTTCTTGATCATGTATAGTTTGAGAATGTTCTGTGACTTGCTTGCCTTTTGCTCCTACACTTTAGCAATGGGAATGCAGCTGCACAGGCCTTTGAAGAGAAGCAGCAGAAGTTATAAAGAGGGGATAATTATCTTAAATGATTTTCACATAAATTTACCCATAATTTCCTCCTGCCTTATTTTGACAGTTCAAAATTTTAGTAAATTGTGTGGTGCCTTATTTTTCTTTCATTAAAAACAAAAGCATTATCTCTTTATAAATTCTTTTAAAAATATGTTTAAAACTATAATGAATATCCCCACGTGCCACCTCACATATTTCCATAAGTTTCCCATAATTCAGTCCATTTTGCACCTTCAAGAGTTTATTTTCTTCCTACCCCAACATCATACAGAGCGTAGCATTACAGAGCACGATTCCACTCAAAGGAAGGGAAGATAAGAGTAGAATATCGCACACTTGCTCAATCATAGTATAATCAAGATTTACATTACTCTGATTTGGAAAATCTGAAACATAGTTGATTATATATGGGGTCAACGTTGAAATACTTTTATAAACTTTATCCTTTTCTCAGGCTCAGAAAAGACAGATGAGTATCTTTTGGCCAGATTCAGAGGCGACGGTGTCAAATACAAGGCCAAGCTGATTGGCATCGATGATGTGCCCGATGCAAGGGGAGATAAAATGAGCCAAGATTCTATGATGAAACTCAAGGTAAGAGAGGGAAAGCATGCTCGGTCTCTGTCGTCAGCCGGTAGCCAACAGAGGGAATTATATCAGAAGTTTACCTGTATCTGTATCTCAGTTATTTGAAAGAAAAATAAACATGTCCAATCACATCATTGACCCAAGGGCACCTCGTGCTCTGAGGAGCCGTGAGCTCATTTGCATATGCTGGGTGTGGTTCTAGGACAACAGGACTCTACATGCCTTTCCCTTTCGGGCAGGTCAGATTTGCAACCCTGGAAGTATTCAGGGAAAAATCAGGACTCTACTTGGAAACCGTGTTCTTCCCTGTTAGTCCATTTGGTTTTCTCAAGTTTCGGAGTCTAGTACTGCCACAGTGTGAAACTAATTAAATCATACTCGTTAAAGAAGACAAGGTCTAGAAGAAACATCTTTGAAGATCTTCTAGCCCAGTCTCCTTGTCCTTACCAATGGCTTTCTGAGGTCAAGGGAATTAGAAGGACTTGCCCAGGTTTGCAGAGCTGACGAGGGATGCCCTGGTTCCACGCGTCTTCGATTCCATCCTACTGCCTCCCACAGAGGGGGCCCAAGCCTTTCAGAGACGGGAAACTAAGCCAAAAACAAGGCTGCCCTTTAAATGTTTAGTATGAGAAGCATTTTAGGGTGCTTTTAACTATGTTTCCCTTGTTTTTCCAACCTCATCAGGGCATGGCGGCAGCTGGCCGGTCTCAGGGACAACACAAGCAAAGGATCTGGGTCAACATTTCCCTCTCTGGCATAAAAATCATCGATGAGAAAACTGGGGTAAGAAGTCACTTTCACTGATACTTCCTGACACTGGAGTTTGACAAATAATTTACAACTAAGTTTTAGCTTCCTTTTTCTCTTCCTGTAGAAACAAATTCTGTAGGGGAAAAAAAAATAGCATGTATTACTTCTCCAGAGGTAAAGGCAGAAAACAGGGTAGGAGATGAGGAGTCAAGACACTTTGTTTTGAAATGTATTTTCTCTAATAGATGGGAACTGCAGGTCTATGAACACAGGTATGCTATAAATACCACTTGGATAGTTTTTATTTTTTTGGACCCTGAGTACAAGAACTAGATTACCGTATTTTTCAGACCATAAGACACACCTAGGTTTTAGAGGAGGAAAATAAGGGAAAAAATTTTAAAGCAAAAAATGTGGCAAAATATTTAATAATGTAAATAACATAATATTTCACCAATGTAAATGTAAACAGAACTCAACAGCAGCTTTAGCAACCATTATTCCTGCCAAAGTTGGGGGAGGAAACGTGCATCTTATAATCCAAAAAATACAGTAATTCTAACCTCTGGTTTGTGATGCTATCATAGGCATATGCATGGGTCTCATTTTAATATACAGGGGTGTGCAAAAGTAGGTTTACAGTTGTATTTAATTAATAATAAATAATACATAGTGATATAAGAATCAGCTCAGTGTTTCACATACTCACCACTGTGAACCTACTTTTGTCCACACTATACTGAACACATGCAAACTTATTGGCTAACCTAATGCTAGAATGTTACCTGTAATACAGATCCCTGTTTTCCCTTCTTTCTTTTTCTTTCCTCCTCACCCCACAGAGGTGACTTTGATCATTTTTTGTTGTCATTGCTGTTTTTCTATCATGTATGAATAAATGTGTTTGCTGGGTTTTGAGCCTTATCAACAAGTGATCATATTTTAAGTCTACCAGGACTTCCTTTTTGCCTCTATTCAAGATTCATCTACTTCAAATGTGTGTAACTTTTTGTCATTGCTGTAAAATACTCCATTGTATCAGGGTGCTGTGGGGGGGCCTCTAGTCACTCTCTATTCCTTCCTAAAGATGCCCTCTACCTAATATGCAAAATCCATCGGCCCAACCAGGGTTCCATGTTCACTAGAGCCCTGGTAAGCGCTCATTCACCTGCCGGTCCGCCTGCACTGCTGTTGCCGTTCTACCTCATCCCTGATGTCTTACCTTCCCAAGCCCATCAGAGAATGGTGGCCGGTTTCCCTCACAAGCATTCCCTCATTCCCAACCCTCCTACAATAGCCAGGATAAACTTCCCAGTGGCCTTAGGAGTTTGGAAACAAAAGCAAAGACACATTCTGACTACCTACAAATATTGCCGAAGGGTTGAGCCCCGCTGTTCACTTGGAAGGACCAAGAGAAAGGGGGAGGGGAGTAGAGGGAGGGTAATACTAACCCCATCACAAGTAGGTCTGGATATCTAAGTGGGGTTAAGAAACATTTGAAGACAGCATCTGGCAACTTCCGGAATATACTTGGGATAATTGTTCTAATGATACTTCAGTAATTGCTCTCTGGCCGCTCTGAGCCATTGTCAAAGGAACCGTGTGAACACTTCTCCAGCTTAGTTATGCCGTTCCCTTGCGTTTGCCTTTGGGCTGGGAGAGTCCGCTTGTTTGGAATAGGTCATACACCCCATCTTCACCTTAGAGATTCTTGGTCTTCCAGTCCTCTGCCCTTCCTTCTATGTGACATCACATCTTTGGGGGAGAGAGATGCAAGTATCATTTTTTCAAGAAGGGGCATTTTCCCCCCTTTGGTTCGCTACTCTTTGTTCCTTTTGGGCCCCTCCCTAATCAGGATAAATATAGCTCTAGCCTTCAACCAGAGGTAGAAAAATGGTGTCTTCAAATGTTTTAGCTTTTTCACTCATCTGATGCTTAGTCGTGCCAGCCTACAAATAGACTCCAGTTTTCCCAGGCAATCACTTTTTCTGGTTCCGTTTGCAGGTGATTGAGCACGAGCATCCAGTAAATAAGATTTCTTTCATCGCCCGTGACGTGACGGACAACCGGGCGTTTGGTTACGTGTGTGGAGCGGAAGGCCAGCATCAGTTTTTCGCCATAAAAACAGGACAACAGGTAAGCGCGATGCTTTGAGGTTTACCTGGATGGGGAACTTGTCCTCAGTGGAGCGCAGGAGCGTCTGTCACTCAGCTAGAGAGCTTTCTAGAAACAACTGGAGATAAGAGGAAGAACAAACAATGATTCAAAGGATGACTGTCTTCACTGGTCTAAGGAATCTTTTTTAAACTTCGCTGGGGAGTGTATGGCACATGGATTATGGAATGGGCTTTCCGGTGCGGTCGATACTGATTTTAGAATAGTAGTGAATTATTCCTAGAAGTGCCGAAGGAACTTGGAAGATTATCATGGTGTTTCTTATTTTATCTAAGTAATTATTACCCCTGCTGTCCTTTATGGGGATGGGGGTGGTGGTGATATCCCATGAAACGGGGGGTGGGGGGGGTAGAAAGAAACTTCAAGAGAAAGGAAGAAAACAGTACTAATCAGAACTGATGGGAGACAAAGGGAAGAAAATCGTAAGATGAAAATACCAATAAATATGCTTTCTCTTACTTCAGGCTGAGCCATTGGTCATTGATCTCAAAGACCTTTTTCAAGTGATCTACAATGTAAAGAAAAAGGAAGAAGAAAAGAAAAAGGCAAGTACCACCCAATACAGGTCCTATTAAACTTAAGTCAGTGTTCAGGACCATATTTGAACATTATGTAAACATATAGCTTATCTGGAGAGTTGGCTTCTATGGGGCTTTCCAAAGGGTGCAAAGCAGAAAAATGTATCATCTGCTATTCCCAACAGAGTAATGAATAGATGCTATCCTTAGGCACTTTGATTTCCAGTCCCTGATGCCTGTCTTTTCTCCCTCCACGCTTCACATTGATTCTAAAGACTATACACGACTACCAAGTTTAAGTCCAGTAACTATTGAAACCCAGTGTTGCTATGAAAAGGGCAGGGTAATGTGGGGCAGAGATAGCATGCGAGAGTCTCTCTTGCTTACGCCTGTGAGCCCATAGGTATGTTTGTTCTTTGATTTAAGTCCCTTTAACTATAATGACTAAGATCACTGAATTTGTGTCTTTTTTTAGATGGAAGAAGCCAAAAATGCAGTCGAGGTAAAACTGCATCTCCTCTTCTTGTGGATTGTGCGTGTATGATGTGTAGGAGCCTTTGTTTGCCGCCTGCCCAGCATGCTTCCCTTCTGGCTGATCACTCACTCTGTTCATGACCCTCTGGTCAGGGGAGTCGTGCCGTTGAATGATCAGTGCCCAAACTGTACCTGCTTAGCTAGCCAGCACCCTAGGAAAGTAAAACTCGCCCACTAAACCCATAACCATTTGCCATCTTTTCAGAATGGAAGCGAGACCCTAATGACTCATGATGACCAAGCTAACAAACTAAAATTGGTATGTATGTGACCTTTTATGATTCTTACTTACCTGATCATGGGTTTCACTTCCTGTAGATGTTGTAAATACAAAATCGGTATGGAAGTCCAATTGCAAGAACTATTTCCCTAAACATTCGTATAACATTGACATCAATATACAAAGTAATCTTTTTAGTAAACAGATCTGAATCGAATCCAAATATTTTTAAAGAGTTTGGACCAGATGGATTTGTTTGGGTACCTGTCTACACTTCCTGACCTAAATAGCCTAATATCAAATCTGTATGAGTTAAATGAAAATCCAATGGTGACAGGTGGTTTCCTACACTTTTGTTTAGTTTAGGAAGCAACTTCGACAATATACAAAGTGATCTTTTCTGGTAGACACATCTGAATCTAATCCAAAATACTTTTTTAAGGCTGTTGACCAGATGGATTTGTTTGGGGACATGTCTACACCTCCTGACCTAAATAGTGCAACAGTAAGTGTCTGTTTTTAAATTTGCAATGTAATGGAAATGACATCTATGACTCAAGTTGGCAGTTAGCCAGAAATCTTGAGCATCTCATTGAAACTTGGAAGGTGACTGCTGATTTTTTTTTTTTGCATAAAGTGTAAATGGCTACTAGAACAAATTTGCATCTTAAGCCACCATGGGAACCTATCAGCATTAATTCAGATATATTAATATTACTTAGTTAAATCTGAGCAATAGGTCAGGCAATGTAGTCCTTCATGGTATTACTGAGGATGAGAAGGAGGAACTGAATAATAATTCTTGGCATAAGCCTACTTGGAGGAAATACGCCTGTTAGATGATTAATTGTAAAGCCTCCTGGCCTCTCCGTTTACTGTCTGTTCTTCCTCTTGTGATTTAGCATAAGTGTGGTGTGAAGTAAGACTTAAAATAAATATCATAGGACTCAGTTGTGTTTTGAAAGTTTCTCATGTTTTATAGGATGCTATAATGTATCGATCTTAATATTGATTGATTCATTAGAACTTTGTGAGCATGAACCAGTATTTTTGTTTACAGATAAGGAAATAATGATTCAGGAAAAAAGCTCATGGACCTAAGAAAAAGGGTTCAAATGCAACACTAAAAGCCAAGTCTCAGAACTTCCAAAACAGACCTCAAGGGAAATTAACCATGTAATTTTAAATGGCTTTTTACACCTTTTATTACTTATTGAACAGTTTCTTGAGTACATGCTCCCTGCCAGGCACAATGGTGAGACACGCAATGTCAGGGACATCATGAAGTGTAGTATCTCGCAGAGAGGCCAACAGTAAAACCAATTACAAAGTTTGTTAGTGGATGTTAATTATAGGGTATTTATCTAGTTTTAGAGGGTCAGCTAATAGCTCTGAGTGAGTTTCTGGACTTGAACATGAACCAGACGAAAAGGGCATCACTGTCTATCTAGGAGTCTCTCACATCAGGGAATTAGCGAGCAAACCTATATGACCAAGAAGGTCACTGGAATTAAAGCCACAGCAGACGGAGGGCTGGGTAAGCCTCACCGCCCCCTGAGTGCTGCAGAGAGGGCCAGGCCTGTGAACGTTTACGTAACTGCCCCAGCCCGGGAGATGAGAAGGAGCAGGGGCCCCCTCCACACCCTGCTCAGCACCCAGCCCCATGAGGCTCACACCGGACAACAGCATGGCAGAGGCCCCAGCAATCCTACACCGGAGATGCCTGTTTAATGTTTAGTGTTTTTTGAGCAATCGGGACTAACACACTTGTCTACAGGACATTTCATTTTTCACAATGTTTGTTATCATTCTAAGGATAAACTTTTTGAAAGACTGGCGTAGAAGCCCCGAAAGGCCCGTGCTAGCTCTGAAGTCCTTCTGATTCCTAGGCAACTTCACCCTTCATCCACGGGTAGCCCCCTTCCCAAAGTAAATTCCTGTCTGAATGATGCACTTTCTAAGCGTAACTGACCTTCAAACAGGTTTATTGAAGGAGATCAGAGCACTGATGCTATGAGGTAGAATTCCGGTGGGGCAGGCAAGGAAGCACCGACGGCTTCCTCTGTTTCTGTAGCCTTCTAGAAGTTTCTGAAAAAGGACATGAAAAGCAACATGAGTAATCCCGAGTCTCATTGATATTAGACTTCATGCATTCTAAGAATCTCTGGCTTATGAAAATAAAGTTCAAGTTTTAGTTGCACTAACAATCAATTAAAGGGATGAACACCATCGAAGCACGTGGTATCTGATAAGTAAGAGAATCCTAACAGTGCTAATCATGTGCTGATCAGACTTTGCTGGTGTGTTCTTACAGAGTGACTTTATATCCATAGGTCACAAAATAGATTTACCTCTGCTTGATAAAACCAGCATGTTTAAAAGTGTCCAAATCTCACAATGGTTGCTGCAGTACAGATTAAGAGAGGAGGAAATCTAAATTACCCAGACTTTATTGGTCATGCCCTGTCCCTCCCCCAACATTTATACAGAATAGTTTTATGCATTTCAACTAAAACTCATGTTGCAAATTATGTAGCATTCCTTAGGTTGTAATTTTTATTGAAAAACTACTTGGACTATATTCTTCCATACCGATCTGAAAAACTTAAAAAAAAAAAAACCTGGAGAAAGGGCGGGGGGAGACATATTCTAACTTGAAAATTTTGACCATTCAAAAGCACGGTTATTCTCATAAAATGCAAGGCATGGCTCCTCACCAGGGAGATTAACTGCGGTGCAGGGATGGGATCAGGGCAGTGTTAGGGAAGCGAGACGCCATGAATAACCTGAAGCTGAGTGTAGTCAGGGTCAAAGCAAACTGGATCCCCTTGTGGGACGTTTTGAAAGTCGAGCTCACGAAGCTTGTTTTAACATAGGGAGCAGCAGGAGGCCCCGAAAGCTTTGACTGGGCAAGTCCAGGACTTGGCAGGCTGGAATGACAGGTGAAAACATCCGTGCGGACAAGAGCGAGGCCATGCCGCTCAGTCTTAAAAGCCTGGTCTCTGCACAGACACCTCTTGAGTGGCCTGCTGCTCCTCTTACCGGGGCTCCTTAAAAGCGGGGTCTGTATTTTACTTCCCTGGCACCAGGGCTTGTCCCTCAGGTCCTCTGACGGTGGCCTAGTAGATGCAGTGCTGACGTCCAACAAAGACGTCCTGAAGTTCTGGCCTGGGGTGGGGAGGAGGGGTGGGTGAGGGGGGTTGCATTTTTCAGTTGTAGGCTGTGAGCTGGGCTCTTAATCTCAGACGAACCGCAACCCTGCCCTGAGGAGAGCCGTATGCATTTTGCTTATAGGGTGACTGTTCAGAAGTCTAACCCTGTGGCTCCTGTTGGGTGTCCTAAGAACTTCTCCCGAAGTATTCGAGAAGAACTCTGCCAGCTGTGAACACCCAACTGTTCTGACCGGAGGTGGCCCATAATAAAGCAATAAATATTGAACTCACAAGCTTTTGCAATATGCTTTCCCCTACCTTTTGATTGATAAAGACCCCTCCATGAAGAGATCTTCTGATCTATTTCTTTGATTTAAAAAATGAGTTTTAATGACAAGCTCTTCTTCTGACAAATTTTTTTTAATTTTTTATTTATTTATTTTTAGAGAGGGAAGGGAGGGAGGGAGAAAGAGGGAGAGAGAGAGAGACATCAATGTGAGGTTGCTGTGGGTCATGGCCTGCAACTCAGGCATGTGCCCTGACTGGGAATCGAACCTGCGACACTTTGGTTCACAGCCCACGCTCAATCCACTGAGCCATGCCAGCCAGGGCAAATTCTTTTGATTATAAAAAGAAAAGCTGGTTTTTGAACATTGTGTTTTATACCTAGCAGTAAAGAGAGCCAAAGACAGATTAGGTCTGATTTAGGGCCTAGACTTTTTAAAGGTGTGCTCTTTTCTCTTAAAACCGAAGAGGCTTATTCAGACCTCCTTTTTACTTTTGAGAATTTTATATTCCCTCAAGGTTGCTCTTGTTTCAAGGAGCAAAATATTTAGTTGTCTCTTCAGGGTAATGCTAGAACTCCAACTTCCACTTGATAGGTGTTTTTACTGTTCATATTTCTCTGTGGCTAGCAGCATTAAGCATTTAGTGAACCGAAGGCAGCCGGGAGGAAAGTCCATCAGTATGACAGCGGGTGGACTTTCACCCGGAGTGATTCCTAACTGCTTATAAAGACCTGTCAGATTAACCAAATGTGCTGCTTTTATGCCAAGAAGGATATCTTATCTAACAACTGTGAGTCCAAATAATTATCATACCAGAAAGTGATAAAGAATAAAATTCGTAGAGGAGTGCATTTGGTATGTCTTTCAGATGAACTCAAACCAGTATCTCCACTTTACTCATAAATTAAAGATTAGATTATACATAAAGAAAAGATAAATTAAAGAATAGTTGAACTTCTCCACTAAATAGATGAGATTACTGTTACAACAAAGGTCGCTCTAATGTGAGAGGTTACTGTGATATATTACGTTATATTAGATCACTATTTTGAGTATCGCTTTCTCAGAAAGGTTTAGACCAAAGGGCGTGTCCAGAGGAGAGACTAGGATGATGAGGAGGAGAGATCTAACTGGGCTAGCACTTTCAAAAAAACCCTTAAAGATTTTAAAAGGCGTACGTGACAGTCTGTGATGTAAGAGGAAAATTCCACCCCCAAAAGGGAAGACCAATTACAGGGAGATATATTTGACCTTCAACTTTATTACAGCCAGAACTGTACAATATGAATGTATTAGCCAATAAGTGTGCTCGTTTAGAGAGGTGAGGTTCTGTGCCCCGCAGGTACAACGGAAGGGACTGCATTCAGGTAGGAAGTGGTCTGGGCTTTGGAGATCTTGTCTTCCTTTCCAGCTTTGTAGAGCTAGGTAATCCCTTGGAGCCACTCACAGGTGATTCCCTTTAAGACTTTCAGAGACATGAATTAAAACAAGGATGATGGGGAACTCAGCCTGTCTTAAGGCTGAGCGGTGACGTGAGTAAAGTAAACAGCAGTAAGATTTCATCTAATAAGGGGCCAATGAAGTTGAGACATAAATAAAAGGGCATGGGATGGGGGGAGCACAGGGAGGACCTATTCAACTAGTAAATGCACTCACAGAGGCGATGGGAAGAGGTCGTGGTCAACCAGTTAGCCAAGACCAAAAAAAATCAGATGTGAATTTTGATACTTCTGGTCACTTTATGTAGCTTTCTCATTTGAAGTCACAAAATGGACTAACACTTCCTTTTTTTCTCTTTTCTTTCCAAATGTGATAGGAAAGCAAAGATATCCTGTTAGTGGACCTAAACTCTGAAATCAACACCAATCAGAATTCTTTAAGAGAAAATTCATTCTTAACAAACGGCGTCACCTCCTCCTCTCTTCCTCGACCAAAGCCTCAGGCACCTTTCTTGCCCGAAAATGCCTTTTCTGCCAATCTCAATTTCTTTCCCACCCCTAATCCTGATCCTTTCCGCGATGATCCTTTTGCACAACAAGACCAATCGCCACCCTCTTCGTTTGATTCTCTCAAATCTCCAGATCAGAAGACAGAGGATTTGAGGGGCTTGTCCCCTCCCCTGAGTAACGGGCCCCTGAACGGGGACGCTGATTACTTCGGTCAGCAGTTTGACCAAATCTCTAACCGGACTGGCAAACAGGAGGCTCAGGCAGACCCGTGGCCCCTTCCAAGCCCACAGACACAGGCACAGCCAGCAGTGAGAACTCAGAACGGGGTGTCTGAAAAAGAACAGAACGGCTTCCATGTCAAATCCTCCCTGAACCCTTTTGTGGGAAGCCCTCCCAAAGGACTGCCCGTCCCAAATGGCATAAAGCAGGACTTGGAAAGCTCGGTCCAGTCCTCAGCACATGACTCCATAGCCATTATCCCACCTCCACAAAGTACCAAACCGGGAAGAGGCAGAAGGACTGCTAAGGTGAATGATCTCTGCATGTCCGTTGGCCGACTGCATGTTCAGTGTCGAAGGGTGGTAGGATGCGCGAGCGGTCTTCCCTGCTGCTGCTGCTGCTGCTGCTGCTTCCTGTGCGGCTGTGGGACAGAAGGCAGGGCGAGCCCCTGTCCTGCAGGCATCCCTTCCTCTAACCACCGCCCTTTGCAGACTTCTCACTCTGCAATGTCTGTCGCCCCTGCTTTCCGTTCGCATGTCTTGTCTCTTATTATTAACTAAACACACGTTTTTTGTTTTTTCATTTTTAATGCTGCTATGCTTCTGTACCTCTGGTAAGTTCGACGGTCCCACGGGGAGAGGAGGGCAGGGGTCCTTGTGATTCCCTTCATACCTTCCCCACACTAACCCACGCCCCGCACGCACCACTCACGGTGCATTCGTGTCCCACGTGGTGCTGTTCAATTCTCGAGTTTGTCTCCTGTGGTGAAAGTGGACTGACGAATCCGCTGTCTTACAAGAACATGTATTTACCATCACTGTTTCATTCAAAAGCCATTCAAAATGCGGTGTCTGGATGCTTTTCAAAATGTCATTGGAATGTGTCGGCTGGCCTAACAACGAGGCCGCTGTGTTAATCTTATGGATTCAAATCCACGAGAATGATCAAAGATATTTAAGCTACTTATTTACAGTGGTCCCGTCTTTCCCAGCTTCAAGCTTTTAGCGGATAAGGAGACCAGACAGATACAAACGTGTAAAATAAGTAAATTAGATTTCCCTTTGAGAGTCCAAAATCCAATATTCTGCCTATTGTGGAGATCCTCGTCTTGTGTGTTTGGTTGGCTGGTTGGCTTTTTGTAGTAGTTTGTCGGTAATCGGAAACAGTTTCCCTCCGTGTGGTCCCCCATTCGGAAGGACAGAGTAGGAGACGGAATAAGGCTGCATTTCTCTGACCCCGAGTAACCCCTCTCCACCCCGCCCCTCTCCACCCCCGCCAGTCTCCAGCCAATGACTTGCTGACGTCAGACATCTTCGCTCCTGCCGACTCAGAAGCTCCAGGCCAGGGGTCACCCACCGGACACCCTGCAACCCCACAGGCCAGCCCTCTGGATCTCTTCAAGACCAACGCCTCTGCCCCTGCGGGGCCCCTCGGGGGTCTTGGTAAGTGCCCGAGAGGGAGTCCGGCTTGGCTCGGTGACTGTCACTATTAGGGTGATCGTGCGTAGGGCGAGGGTAGTGTGTAACCACAGAGGTTTCAGGGACAGAAAAGTTAGCGACCTAGGGAACCTTTCTCCTACTTTTACTTCTTTAACATCCCACCCGCATTTGGTACCCTTGACTTGTAAATGAAATTCGTCTCCTTGAGTTGGCATGAGAAGAAATCCATTCTCAATGTGGCACTTATTTGGACCAAGGGACAACTTACTGAAGACAGTTACAAGGGAGTCTGAAGCCCAGACCAGCTTTATGGGAGGAATGGGGCTGAGATGGCAGAGTCTTAAACTATCATCTCTGTTGAAAAAGTAACAACATGCATGTCCTCTATGCAAGTTGCCATTCTGAGATCAAAGCACTGTCCCCTATTAAATGGATACCCTATTGGGAATCCATATCTTGGACCCCAAGAGGGATGTGATTGAAGTCTGACGCAAGTGTAAGTCGTAGAATGGAAGTCCTAGGTTCCAAGCCCAGCTCTGCCCCTAGGCCTAAGGGGGGTGTGGGGCAAGCTTATATCCTATCAGTCTCCGCATGTGTAAGTGTCAGCAGTTCCTTGCCAATATTTTGCCCGGCTGAGTGTCTTCATAGAGTACGAAGACAAATACTAGAAACCTGGGGTGGAAAAGAGCACGGAGATAAGGGAAGAAGTGGGATTGTGTCGGAGAGCTAGGATGTGCTGGTGCTGTCCTTCATAAACGTGTCCTCAGCTCACGTGAGCCACGGAGCCACTCTGCGGCAGACGCTGGGCAAGGTCACCCGGCTGAGGGCTGGCCCGGCTGCTCTCCACCCACAGCCTCCTGGTCTTTCCTGCCCCTGCGGCACAGTCTGCAGAAACCTCGACAATAGCCCTTGCTGCCCTGCAGGGGATTCTCTTCGGATTTCTGCTTCTTGGCACCGCTCTGAGCTCCCAGTCGGCTTCATCCCGGGAGCGGGTGAAGAGGGGCTCTCTTCCTCATTTTGTAAAATTTGATCAGGGATCTTCCTCTTCCTCCTGCAGAGCCAGTCAGCAGGACCCTGTCTCATTGCTTTCTCTGCTTTCCTGCAAAGGAGCATACGGTGGTTCTGTCCTATTGCATCTGTCTAAGCATATCTGGAGTAGGGTGTAGCCAGAGGACCGTTGTCATCCAACCGCCCAACGGCCGAAACCCAAGAGGGGGTGAGGAGCCAACGTGTCCCAGGGCTCTGCTTGCATTTGTACCATCAGGACACTCTCCCTGAGCTCTTCGCATCTCCTGGGGGTTTCCCTTTCTGCTTTGCTCTTTTCCCTGTATCCCCAAGTGGAGCCGGTTAATGCTTTTCCTTGCAGAAGTGCAGGGAGCTTGCAGGCGGGGCCTGCGGCCAGATCACATCCCAGAGCTTTGTAGTCTAATATCATGCCCTGAAGAATTTTTACAGCCAATACTTAACAAGTCAGCCTGGAAATACAGCTGGACCCTATAACTGTTCATTTATTCAGACAAAGTGAAGCTTTTTGGCTAGGTGCCCCTGTGGAGGCCTCAGGCTACACAACAGCAGAATACTGATGATTCTTCTGAGCTGAGACACGGGACCCAAACTGAGCTCTACAGTGTAGCCCCTGTCCACTCGCAGGGATCCTCCGCCAAACCCTGGAAGGTCGCAGGTCTGGCTTCAGCTGCACCCAGCTGGGGGACTCTCTCCCCTGGAGAACTGGGGGCAGGCAGGGGGAGAGGACGGGGAAGGCGGCGGCAAGAGGGGGCTGGAGAAAGCTGAGCCTTCCGCTTTCACTAGCTACCCTGTGTTTTTATCTAGCATCAGAAGGAAATAAAATTAACTTTGTTTGTTTTTTTTTAACCAAAACTCTCCTTTTATTTTTTTTTAAACCTCTTGCCTCTACCTTTTCCGGGGCCTTAGATACATATCTTGGAAACACAACACATGGAATCTGGTAGATGGGGATGAAGGCTGGCATGGTATGCCCTGGGGAAGCCTTCACTTCAGTGTCTTTCTCTTTCACCCCCACTCCCACTAACACCATCTCCGACTAAGGCCGCACGTTTCCCTACGGGAAGGCAAGCCATTCGGCACGGGAGATGATCACCTTCTACCCAGTTGGAGCACCCAGTTGGTGTAAATTATTAGTGAGTGACTCTGGGATCAGTTCATGAAATTTCAATGAATTTGTTTCAAAATGCTAGAAATAACTTTGTTCAAAATCAACTCACTTGTAGAAGCCTATATTATGCAATCTAAGAGAAATTTCCCTTGGGTTAGTTATGAAAGGAGTATGTATATGCTTCAGTGTCAATGACATCCAATACTGTATCTGTAAAATAAATATTTGAATTAACATTCCATTAAAAACAAATAGTCCTGCCTTTGGCTCTGCCAAAGAGGCAGAGCAGGAGGCGAGGCTGCTGGCTTCGGAGCCGGCGCGCCTGAGTTTTAGTCTGTCCTGTCACACACTGTGACTGTCCCAAGGTTAGTAACTAATACCCTCGCACCCAGTCCCCTCACCTCAAACATAAGCATGTTAATTAGTAAGAGGACCCTTCCTGAAACCCGCTGCTCTCCATGAGCACACCATATGCGCGCGTGGCCAGATGGCTGGTGCTCGTGTTGATACAGACTTGAATCAACACCAATCTCCAATACTGGGGAAACTCAAGATGCAGTACCCTGCTCCATCAGCCCCTGCATACCCTTTTCAAAATGTTTCTCACTTCGGAAACAAAAACATTCCTCACTCGAGTTCGAGGGCCTCAGTTGGGTTAGAAAATTTTCATGATAAAAGCATGCTCCACTCCAAAGCTCAGAGCAAGTAGGTTTTGAGAGCAGAGCATCATTTGAGAATAGGTCTGAGGCTGAATGTAGGTTTTCTGTTAGTGGTGACCCTGTAACCGGGTCACTGATACACTCGGGAAGAGACAGGAGAGAAAACGCCCTCCAGATTTGAACAAGACGGAGGCGATGAGCATCTCCAGAACAGGGTGTGGAACATGGGAGAGACTTGGACTTTAGTGGTTCCGGCAAGTCCTAGTTGATGCGGCCGGGAGGCAGGACACGGAGCGCGTCCCCCTTTGAGATCAGATCCCCAGGCCATTAGTTACCTCAGGCGGTTTTCCTGCTTCATGGTGTCTCTTCTCCCTCCCCTCCCCTCTGCTCTGGTCTAACTGCTAGCGAAGCTTTGTGAGTGACACATGCAGGGAGCACTTTTATTTGAAGTCGCTCTCCCAGGATAACCAACCTTTCCTCCGTGTTTGTACTATCTTGGCACCAAACAAGTGTTTTCATCCTTTTATATAACGAGACCAACCTTGGCAGCATTTAAAAGCAAGGCAACTTTGAAAGGGTTTCTTGAGGGTGCAAGCATGTTGAGGCCTAAGGCACATGCATGCTAGCTGGTTTCCATAAGACCAGACCGGAGACAGCCGCCAAATGAAAAGATGGAATCAGTGGCTCAGACACCCTGTGGAGTATCTTAATTAATCACTTCGTAATCATCCTGGTTTGTGCATGTAGGTGTATTCATGCAACAAAGAAGTTGATCCGATTGACAGGCTCTGTTCTAGCTGCATAAAATGCATCAGTGTCTGTATAATAAGGGCTCGTTTTTTCATGACTAGGTACTTAAGGTAGAAAAAAAAAGGGGCTTCAAAATTGCCCTGACTCGTGTGGCTCAGTGGATTGAGAGCTGGCCTGCAAACCAAAGGGTTATCGGTTCAGTTCCCAACCTAGGGTACATGCCTTGGCTGTGGGCCAGGTCCCCAGTGGGTGGCACACGAGAGGCAACCACACACTGAAGTTTCTCTCCTCTTTTGCCTACCCTTCCCCTCTGTCTAAAAATAAATAAAGCCTTTCAAAAAAATGTTAAAAATATATACTCTGCAATTGGATGCTAGCAGTACTACATTAGCTCATTAATCTTCAGGTGATTTCATTTCTCAGGGATGATTTTCCGTGGCGGCCTCAAGGCTGAAAGAAGGCATTTGCCACGCAGATGTTTATAAATGCTTCCCAGAGTCGTGTTTTCTGAAACTGAACATCCCCTTCAAGACCGTCTCCTGATCAGCGCTTTCTCTCACTTCCTTCAGGTGGGGTGCAGATGACACCCCCTCAGGCAGGACCCTGGAGCCCAACGTCTCTAGTGTTCAGTCAGTCCACTTCGGTGGTCCCGGGAGCCATGGTGGGTGGCCAGCCTCCAGGATTCGCTCCGCCCATGGTCTTTACCACAAGCCCAGCGGTTGCAGGTTGGAGCCAGCCTTCATCCTTTGCAGCCTCGACTTCCCCTGCAGCCCCTGTTGTTTGGGGCGCATCGGCATCTGTGCCACCCAACACCTGGTCATCAGCGAGCCCCTTGGGAAACCCTTTCCAGAGCAACATTTTCCCAGCTCCTGCCGTATCTGCCCAGCCCCCTTCCATGCTCTCCTCTCTCCTGGTCACTCCTCCTCAACCACCTCCCCGAACTGGCCCTCCACGGGACGTCTCCACTGATGCCTTCGTTGCCTTGGACCCACTCGGGGACAAAGAAGTCAAGGAAGTGAAAGAAATGTTTAAGGACTTGCAGCTGCGGCAGCCTCCTGTCGTCCCCGCAAGGAAGGGAGACCCAACCCCTTCTGGGACCTCAAGTGCCTTCTCCAGTTACTTCACCAGCAAAGTGGGCATTCCTCAGGAGAATGCAGACCACGATGACTTTGAGGCTAACCAGCTGTTGAAAAAGATCAATGGTAAGCTGTCCACTTCCCTGGCCACTGTACCAACCAGTATTTCCACTGTCGCATGGGCCCACGGAGTCCTTCAGAAGAACTGTCTCCCACCCACGAATGGCCTTACTCTTGCTTCATCTTAACCATTTCCCTTATGAAGCCAACTATTTACCTTAGTTCTTTCTAAGGTCTGGCCCAATGCTGCCCTCTTGCGACAAATCTTAGGAGGGCTGCCAAGAGCTACTGAAATGCAGTGGGGTCATGGCACCCCCAGAGGGCTGAGTGACAAAGTCTCAATCACAGCCCACGGTCTTCAGGGAGGGAATGCTGAACCTCTTCCACTTCAAGCAAATAGTTATGCATAGTGTTCTCTCCTGAGCAGGGAGGAATTTCCCTGTGATCCTTAGCCGTCCTAGTATACTTTTGGTGGTGATTTGTGGGCCATTGATACAAATTTCAGAAGTATGGGACTTCACTTGCTAAGACAAGCCTGGCAGGGGACTTGTGCCTGTATTCAGGGAAAGCCTGTCTACTGACTCCTCGGGTTTTTCGCCTTCTAGAACCACCAAAGCCAGCTCCCAGACAAGGCGCCCTGCCGGTTACCAAATCTCCTGACAGTGCATCTGAGAATCCTTTCTCTAAAAATTCTTTCAGTTCCTCACAAGCCTCTGTAAGTACCAACTGCTACAACCTGTTGTTCCAACAAATACGCCACATAAAGCCGCTGCCACCCCAGTGAGCCATGCTCGTAGGTGTAATAACTCTCTGATAGGAAAGGACGTTTGAAGAAGATTTATCCCTGAGAACCCTCACAGTGTAAACATCCACTCAGACTAGGGGAAGATTATTTTTGCAGGGACTACTATTCTGAACGTGAGAAATGAGTACCATAAAGAAAACAACCTTTGTATCTCACTGAACCTGGCTCCTGAAAGCATTCAGGGAGAAAATCAAATTGAAATACTGTCTTTTAAAAAAAGAAATCTTCCTGGCTGGCATAGCTCAGTGGATTGAGTGTGGGCTGTGAACCAAAGTGTCGCAGGTTCGATTCCCAGTCAGGGCACATGCCTGGGTTGCAGGCCACGGCCCCCAGCAACCACACATTGATGTTTCTCTCTCTCTCTTTTTCCCTCCCTTCCCTTTCTAAAAACATAAAAAATAAAAATCTTAAAAAATAAAAATCTTTCAGATTTAAGTTCCTGATTTCCTACCCAGGATTCCATAGCTCATAAAAATAATACTTCCCATTTGGGGGAGGCAAATATAATTTACTTGAACCTTGGCTTTAATGTAAATAATAAATATATATCACCAGGTATAAGCTGGCAAACACGAATCATCGTAGACCCTTCTGCGACCTAAGTGATCTTTAAAGAAATTAGAAAAGTCTTAGTATAGGTTTTTTATTTTTCTTATCACTATAATTATACCTGCTGACCGGGTGGTTATTTCTCCACAGATGGCTTCGCCTCAACCTGCAGCTCCTGATGTATATGGGGACCCTTTCGGAAGTCCTTTTGCCTAACTTCTGTAAGTTGGGTGGCATAGGGGGAGAGGGTGAGGGTGAAATTTTCGTTTTAGCATCGGGAAGAGGTTAAATCTCTGTCATTCGGAAGTGATAGACATGGAAAATCTGTACTTAGCTACTTTGATAATGGCTAGGCTGGGCACTTAAGAATAAATTCTTATCTCTATCAAAAATAGTGATGTGCCCATGGGCATACGGGTTTCTGTCATATCCTATGTTCTTGATATTTCAGTTCCATAGAGAAGTCAAGCACAACATAACACAACAGCTTTCCATTTTGTTCGGGTATTTTTTTTTCTTTACCTTTCTATTTAAGTGACTGCAAAGCATCCTGATACTTATTTGGTTCCCACAGAAGGTCCCAAATCTGTGGACTTTCTGAAGCCACCAAACAGGTCAGCCAAAGAGGTCATGGTCATGCCTCTTCTGCCTCCCAAATCAGTCCTCGTTTCTTAGTGGAGGCCTTCCGAATTAGTGTGAAGTCGCCTGATGACATTAAATCCGAAAGCGGTGACAGCTGCCGATGCCTGCTCCAAAGGCAGGGTCAAGGCCACACAAGCTGGCGGGTTGCTTCTTCTCGCCAGTAGGTTTCATCCGAAGCGAGTTATTGGTGCCATCACCTTAGACTGAGGCCCCGGGAGGGCTCAGCATGAAGCTTTCTTTCTCAGCAGGGAGGGAAAGCACCCTGGGCTGAAGCTCAAGGATTGGAGTTAGTGGAGGACGGAGGCTTCTCTGCGTCTTAGAGGAGGTGGAGCACAGCTGGTCAGGGAGAGCCATAGAAGGAGAGAAAGGAACCCAGGCGCATTGATTTCTTCCGTCTTGCCCCATGCAAGCGGACCTCAACACCATGCCTTAACCCATCTAGAAGTGAAGTGTTTGAAATACAGATGTCTTCAACCTGACAGCAGTAAGATTGACTTTATTGGCAATTCGGATCATCTCCCTTCCATCCATTTTGACAATTACAGTGTTTCTTTCAAGTGTGTTTTCATAAAATCTACTTCAGAGAACTGGGTGAGGTTACTGAAAAGGCAAACTCCAGGACGGAACCCCGGCCCTAAGATATCCCCGTCTGGTGCTGAGGAGGAAAGATTGGTTTCTAACGAGCGTCCTGGCGATTTCTAAGGCCGATGAGGCAGTGTGCTGGGCCGTGGTGCTGGAAGTCATGGCAGAGACTCGTTCTCCCCCTCCTCTCCGGGAGAGACAAAGAGAACATGACAGACAGCGCGCACAGCGGTTGCACTAGATTGAGTGGACTGCAGTCCTCAGGTCATGAAGGAAGGACAATCCCGGCCATGCTGCCAAACTTACAGACCGGGAGGGGGGCTATCGCGAGAGAAAATAGCTACCATTATTGATCCGTTGGGTTCACCCCTGTATTTTAGGTCCTGTGTTTACTATCTTATTTAATCCTCTTGCATCAGCCCGAGGACATACCATTACTGATATTTTAAACAGTGATGTGGCATTTAATATATTGATGTTCGATCCAAAAATTCTAACCCCAGGTTTTTGTTGTCGTTGTTCTCCCTGCTTCTCTAGGAACCAGGCCGCCTGACTATCCGGAGGAGCGAAAGGATGGCCAGACAAAGTGGATAGCCAGACAAGCCCTGACCTCTGCCCTTGTTCCAGCTTTGATATATTACCCGTTGCCTTACTTCTTGCTGCCTCTTCCACGTGTAAAATGCCTCTCACTTTTTGTTTAGGTTAAAGCTAAACCGAATCTATGGCTTTAAATAAATTAAGAACCTAAACTGTCTAGCTTAAGTGTAAATGAAGTAGTTTCCCTACTTGATCCCTTGCCTATTGTGTCCCTGACCTTCTAGAACATTCTACCACGTACCCTCTGGTTGAGTGACGCAGCCGCCACAACTCCTCAGATCAGACTGCTTTGAATAAATATCAAAATCCTCACTGTTCACGGTTGTGCGGGGGTTTCATCTTAGACCATAAACCCTAAATGTAGTAGGACAAGGCACCTTCTAAGTCTTGCTTCAGACCCTCGCTTCCAGAGAATTTTTAAAGTTCAGTTGGAGCAAGTGCCACTTCTCCCTAGACATGTGGGAACCCGACACACCCAAGAACCTTTTTAAAGATGGTATTTCTGCTAGTTCTGAAGATCATTTGTATTTTCTCAAGGGCAAGGTTGTCCTCTTTCCAATCTGCTAGCTCTTGCCAATGGGGGAAGAGCATTATGTGTTGTGTCTTTCCTCTCCTTTTCCTTGCGATTCTCTTTTCCATCAGCCTTGCTCCCAGGTTCATATACTATTTCCTCCCTTTCACAAGAAATGGAGTTTTGTGGGACAAAAGTTCCGACGATTCACAGACCTGAACCCTCACCACCTTCTCAGTGGTTTCCGATCCCAGTAATTAGAAGCGCAAACAGGACAACCTTTATCCTTTCTGTGGAATAAGGGGCCATCCTCTTGAGCTGAAGTCCCTGAAGAGCAGTGAATGTCGAAGAAAACCTGAACTCAACTCAGCAGTGAAGGACAACACATCACAAAGATAAATGTGATTGTGCCAAACATATAAGGTGCTTATCTGGGGTCATGCTAGACCTTTATCAAGTGACGGGAAAACTTTTCTTGAAGCCACAATCTCGTAACTAGTTAGCAGATAAATAGGAAAAAAATGGCAAACAATTACTTGCTCTTACTATTAAAAGCCTAATGTCTGTCATATTTTTCTCCTCATAACCTTGGACAATTCCCCAGTTTGTGTTCCATCCTGTTGTTAGCACAGTTCTGAAGGGTTTGTTCTCGCCAACATGAGTTTTGTTTGTTTATGTTGGGTTTTTAATGTCTCTTGACCCCTAATGCTCAGGTTCTGGTGGGTGTTGGTCGACCACGTACAATGTCACCTTCAGATAAACACGAGGATGATGGCTCAGGATCTAAACAAGATGGTGGCTTTGTGAACCTCTGTTAATTAGCCCCCAGGAGTCCAAGCTAAAGTCCTGTGGTTTTCTGTTCAATGGTAGCGAAATAGCTCATTGTGTTTGGCATAATTTTCCATCTGGCTTCCTATTCAGTCATTACAAACGCAGACTTGAAGTAGTATTTTATATGTCCAAATACCTACATGTACTCAATGGGAGACGATTATTTCCAGGTAGTTGAATTTTTGAAAGTAGAAAAAAAATTTGAAAGTGATGATCAGCCACTCAGTTGTTTTATACATACTTGTTTACTTGTGCACTTTTCTGTATGCAAACAAAGCTATAAATTTATTCATTTCAATAAACTGGAATGGCAGAATCTTACGTGTTTCCGTCGGTTTATTCTACCATTTGACCTCTGTTGTTTTGTGTTGATGTATTAGGGTCAAGGTATAAAATATACCCATCTAAGGTGATCAAAAGTTATAACACATTGTGGTTTGCCACAAAGATGAAGAGAAAATGGAAATCCGTGAAATAGGACCATGAGTAAATTATTGGGTGACATCTTTCAATTCTCCTCTCTCAAACGTCTACACCCGCTTCCTGGGAGTTTAATGGGAGTCCCGTGGATTAGCCCTGCACCCGAACAATTCAACAAATGTCAGGAACAAAAACCACTCAATAGTGAACTCTTGACTCACACCTTTTACCCTTCACCTACTCTCGTTCTTGTTCGACCTCACCGAGACACAACCGCGGACTGGCCCAGGCTGGTGCAGGCCATTCAGGGGGACTTCTGTATGAGGTGGGCTGGCTAATGCCGAGCAGGCACCGTTAGCAGTAGGACACTCTTTTTTTTTTTTAATTTTTATGTATTGATTTGAGAGAGAGGGAGGGGGAAGAGAGAGAGATCAATTGTTATTGTCCCACTTATTGACGCATTCATTAATAAGTTGATTCTTTGATGTTCCCTGCCTGGGAATCACATCCACAACCTTGGCATATTAAGACTTTGCAGCCCTGGCTGGCGTAGCTCAGTGGACTGAGTGCGGGCTGGGAACCAAAGTGTCCCAGGTTCGATTCCCAGCCAGGACACATGCCTGGGTTGCAGGCCATGACCCCCGGCAACCGCACATTGATGTTTCTCTCTCTCTCTATCTCTATCTCCCTCCTTTCCCTCTCTAAAAATAAATAAATAAAATCTTAAAAAAAAAAGACTTTGCTCTAACCAGTTGAGCTACCCAACTAGGGCCTGCCAGTAAGACACTCTGTTTAACTCTCCCCTGTATAAAAGTTTAACGCTCTCATTCTTTTCAAGAAGACCTAGATGTATGAGGAAGATGACTCCAAGAAGTCTTAATGTTAAACTTGGCTTCTCTAGGAACAAGACAAACTTGGCGTGTGTGTGTTGGGGGAGGGGAGTCATTGATTGGTGTTTACTGTTTGGGGATGTTCAGTATTTACTGCCTTACCTTCCCCCGTACCTTCAGTAACAGCTGGCATCTTTCTGACAATGAGGAGCACGTACAGAAACACACTCCGCACAGCAGCGGCTTCCAGAGAGCCACAGGTGGAGAAGGCTGCTGATGAGAACACGTTGCAGGAATTACCTGGCTTATCCAGAGGCTCCGCACCGCATGCAATGCCCTGAGCCCATGTGCCGTTTCCAGGTGGCTGAATCTGTAAGATCTGGCCAGAGGTTAACCCTTGCATGCGTGTGCAAGGGGAGGACACTCTCTTCAGCAATATGAACTACTGTTGACCAAGCAGAAGAAGGTGTCTACCTACTGAAGTGTCTGGGCAAAGAGGAAACAGACCTCTTCTTCATGGTCTCTTTAGTCACAGGTGCTACTCACACCTGTGTGCCAGAAGCTGCGCGTTTAGGGTAACGCTATCCTCCCAGGAAGAGGGTTCCAGTTTGGCATCAGAGAGATCTAAGCGAAAGCTGACCCTGAACAGTCAGCATGCCCCTATATTTGTCACATAAAGGTGATACAAAGAGAGAAGATAATCAATCTTCTAAGATAACCTTGCATTTGTGAAGTGCTTTGCCATGTACATGACATAACTGCATCCTGTAGCTATCATCACCCTGTGCAGCAGGATCTGCTTCTGTTCCAAAGCGTCCCAGGAGGGCAGCTGTGCTTTAACGCGACTGCCACCCGCTCTGACCCTTGAGTGAGTGGTTTCCGTGGTATTTTATTGTAGAACTGCGCATTGTGGTAGGAAGGTCCTTTCAGTCAGTGGCTTCAGCTCCTCCATCACAAGGTGAACTGCGTGTCTGGAGAAAGCCAGTCAGAGCGGGTTCTGTGCCTTGTCTGCACTCGGAGCGGGGAGGTGACTCCGGAGTTGACTGACCCTGCAACGAGCCGCTGAGCGAGGACTCTGACCCCGATTCCCGGAACAGGGTCAATACAAAGTCTTCCAGCGAAAGATGGGAGCTCCCCCAAAGCCCCTGGCAAATATTTAATCTGTTACCGTTGGAAGAGATTGCTAAATAATAAAACACCTAATTCCTGCTGGGAAAGGTTTTAACTAATTCTCTTCCATTAGAAATAACGAAGACTCCCGTTCTAGGGTGATCTGCCCAGCACGGACACCCACAGGGCTGTGCACTGGCCGCAGCCCGTTCACATGCCCCGGTTACTCCCGCGCTGGTAGGCGAGGGCCAGCCACGTGTCAGCTCACCCAGCGAGGGACCGAGGCCTTGTACGCCCTTCCTGCTCTGCAACCGGGCACTTGATTACTAACCCTCTCCCACGAGCTGAAACCATCCAAGTGCCAGTCTCGGGGAAGATAGCAGTATGGGGTCCTCCGTGGCAAGGAAACCGGACTTCTGCGGTGAGCAAAGATGAGGTGGTTATAAAGAAGAAAAAAAAAAAATCCCTGATTCGGAAAGTTTTTCAAGGCCAATTATCCTCATGATGGTAGTCCTGAAGTTTTCTGTTGTTTCTCTTTGCAACTGGTTAATGTCAATCGCTATTATTTTACCTTCATTGTTAGAAAGAAAAAAAAAAGGTGCAAGTATTGCCATTCTAAAAGTCGCCTGGTGACCTGACTGGGCCGAGGCTCCGTCGCGGATGTTTCTGAGGTGCGTCTGAAGCTGCCGCCGCCACCTGGTCCCTGCTCACACGGATTGACCAGCACAGAACCTGCTCAGAGCAGGGGAGCTAACGGACAGGGAGGAGACAGAGGATGGCGGGGTGGGTATGACATTTGCCTCCCTGCCTCCCTCACGGGCAGACTGGTGTAGAGCCTTGATGGTGGAAACGATGAGGCTAGAAGCCAGAGTTGTCTTCTCTTGACCAACGATCCTGGGCACCGGCTGGCAGTGCACAAACCACGAGCCCAGTAGTGCAAACGGACTAGAGTGATGGAAAGGCTCACGGTGGCTAGAATTAGTCGGGGGAGTGAGGCAACGGATCGATGTTTCTCTCTCACCTCAATGTTTCTCTCCTGCTCTTTCTCCCTCCCTTCCCCTCTCTCTAAAAATAAATAAAACTGTTTAAAGACATCTAGATTAAATGGCTGCTGGTTTGGGCTCAATGAGGCCCTCAGGGACACAGAGTTTTTCCTAGCTTTTCATTCCAACCTTTGCAGCCCTTTGGCTTTCTGCTCTGGTGTTTATTGCCTCATAGTCACAAAATGGCTGCATAGCTCCACACATGATGTTAATGTTCAAGGAGGGCAGAAAGGGAAAAGGCAACACAATTCAATGTCTTCTCCTGGTACTGGGCATTTTAGTTTTTCCCGAGGGTTCCCAGGAGACTTCAGCAATGTCTCATGGCCACGGCCAGGTGCAAGGGAGGCTGGGAAATCAAGCTTAAGGTTTTACCAACTTCTATAGTGAAGGTAGTTATGGAAGAAGCATGGCTGGCTACATAATTTGTGAGGCCTAGGGCAAAATGAAAATCCATTGTTCAAAAAGCAGGAAAAGGGTGACATTAAGGACGTTAAAGGAAGAACTTCCTTTCTTCTTTCTGCAGTCTGCCTCATATCATGATGTATTTTACCTGGTATTTAATATTACAAATAAAAAAATTAAAATGTGAAGTATTCACATGAATTTTACCCCTCATCTTTAACTCGTAAGTGGAATCACTGGCATTCCACAATTAGCATTTCCCAATCCTACACTCATGTGAATTTCATTCCAACCAGAGTAGCAGAAACACAGCACAAAACCAGCTCAGCTGTCTTTAATTCACTTCCTGACTCAGGTACCTCCCGTAGTGCACTCTTGTTTACTAATGCATAAAGAAAGGTGGGGGAAAGGAGTTATGGGTTTCTCTCTCCTTTTCTTCTCTCCTGTGTCATTATATTCAGCTTAAGCTGATGGCTAGCATAAAAAGTAACTTTAGTAAGAAAGGTAGGACAGTGTTCCCTGGCCATTTGTGTTTCTTTTTGTGTGGAGGCGAGTTCTAGTTCAAAGGAGCAGTGTGACTCTCACAGCTGCCACATCCTTCGTCACCGACGTAATATACTTACCTTACATCCATCCACTTTTGCTTCGAGTTACAGAACTTCTGCACATTGTGGGTTCACCTGAATTTTGTGTTTCTGGGGCAACATAAACACTGTACAAATGGGGTGACATTTTCATGTGTATTTCCTCTGTTCATGGGCATGCTTCTTTTTTCCATCTGACTTTGCTTTCAAAACAAAAGTTCAAACCTAAAATTAAGAATTTCAAGATGGCAACCATAGAGCATTCGACCAGGATGTGGTCCTTCTGCGTGCTGAGCCCTGTGTGCTGGGCAGACAGCATGCCCATGAAGGCAGCCTTGGCGAGAAGGCTTTGGGGATGGGTGCTGAATCGGTCAATGTGGCTCCCACATGCCCAGATGATAGTTGTTTTTTTGTTTTTAAGGAGTGTCTAGTAAATTTTTAATGCACAAACTCTTCACTTAATAATTTACTTAAAAATTTACCCTGAAGAATTCTCACACAGCAGATACATGTACAAACATGTTTCTTAGGGGCTGGTTGGAAAATTCAGGGCAGTTATTGTATTTGCTGCCATCATTCCATAGAAGATTATACAGCTAGTGAAAAATGAATTTCTATATTGACATTGAAATACATCCACAATACACTGTTACGTTAAAGAGAAAAAGATTCAGAATAGTGTATCATGTTCATTCGGCATATTATGTAGGGATATACAGATAAGTTGTTAACTCTGGTTATAATTTTACATGAAAATTTAAATTTCTATAGTGTACTCTGTTATCTATTATTTGCAGGCTTTATAATTATATTTGACTTAAATATACTAATATTCAAGCTTACATTTTTAAGCAAAAAGATAAAATTCCTTTTCAAAGCAGGGTCGTCTTTGCCGCTCGCTCAGTGGGCAGGCGGTCCTCAGCCACG